GCTCCGCCGAGCTCCGGCGAAGGAAACCGGCAGCGGCCGCGGCTGCCTCGGACATCGCGGCACCGCTCGAGCTCCGGTTCCTTGCCGGCCCTCGGGTGCCCCATTTGTCCCCTCTGTCACCACCACCCCCCCTCCCGTCTCACTTACCATTCTTTCCCCTCCCCCATTGCTTCTATCCTGGGCACCCACCGAGGTCTTTCCCTCCTCCTCCTCCTCCTCCTCCTCCTTCCCTGGCGCTCCGGCTCTGCTCCTCTCCTCTGTGCCAAAGCTCTTTTCCCTGCCCACCGCCAGAATCGCATTTCCAGCACCTCCCTCCACCTGTCCCCAAGTCCGGACCTTCTCGCCGGGATCTCGGCAGCCCTTTAACCCTCTCCAGGAAGCTCATCCTTCCTTTCAGAGGCTCAGCGGGGCTGGGGAAGAAGCAAAGCTTTTCATCCCTCTTCCCAAACAGTCAAAAAAATGATTAATCTCGCTGCTCATCTTTGTGGGAAAAGAGCAGGAACGTCTCCTGTGGAGCATCTCCCACCTGCCACAGGTGTGTTGGTCAGGTAAGGAGTGCTTGGGACTCCCAAACCGACAGGAGGAGGGGGAAAATAAAAGGAAAAGGCAACGTGAGTCCCTGAGAGATAAATATCTATAGCCTATAAGTATATAGATCAATGAATGTCTACTGGATACACACATACTTTATTTCCCCTGGCTTCCAGCAGCTCCCTGATATTCCTCTCCCAAAATTCCCAGCCGGGAACTTCCCAGCCCCGCACTGGAGGGAAAAAACCAAAACCCGAGATGCGACCAGGAGGAGGCTCCTTGGCTCGTCCTTGGGGTTTGGGTGTCAGGATCGTGTTCGGGGCCACCAGCTGCTCCCAGACCACCAGGAATGCTGAGTCTGGACAGCTGGAAAGCGAAGCGGCTGCCTGAGGCAGGGAAACAAGGACACGAGCCACATCCAGCCGCCTGTGCCGAGCCTGAAGGTTTATTTTAGACCTGAGACTAAATCAAGGTGCACAGCGGGAGCCTGGCGGGGCCCTCCGTCCCCACTCGCGAGCGATGAGCATTCGGGATTCCTTCGAGGAGCGTCGGATGGCGCCAGGATCCCGGTCCTGCCCCCAGCGCGGGTCAGTCCGTGGGCTCCTCGCCCCACTCCTCGTTGCAGAGGTCGGTCTCGCAGCAGGAATAGCGGGAGGTCAGGCGGGACTCGGCGTCGGACGCCCGCTCCCGGCCGCAGTTCAGGGCGGAGGTGCAGCCTTGCTGGTAATAAAGGGTCACCTTCCCTGCAGGGGAGACGAGAACGCCACAGACGCCGTAAAAATCAGACTTTGGGCTTTGAGGAGAAACCAAGCTCTGAAATGTACCCCCCAAATCAAGTCACAGCTTGATTTGATTAAGAGAAAAAGAAAATCAGGAGATGCGCCCACGGAGACAGCCCCTGTCCCCCGGCTTCTTTGGAAGGGAGAGTCTCCCCTTGGCTTAAAAGCGACTTCTTAAAACTTTTTTGGGACAGCGATCTGTGGAGAGGATGAACTCGATCTCTCCCATCCGCCCTTTCCCTGCGGCTTTGTCTCCCCATCCTCACTCATCCACAGGAGCAATTTGGTTTCCCAGGGACGGGAAGAACCTTCCTGAAGGAGAGGATGGGGAAAGCCAAGAAAACCCGCAGCTAACGCACCCAGGGTGGTTTTGATGAGGGCACACTTCTCCCGGCGCTCGCAGGTGGTCACGTTGGCGCCCCTGAAGCACCCGACCAAGGGGATCTTGTACTTGCAGACGTGGCATCGAAGAGCCTCAGCTGCAGCAGAGGAGAAAAAATGGGATGAACTTTGGGAGAATCCTGCCTCGGAGGCTGGGATGACACCGGGGACCGGCCGGGGAGGTGCCACCGTTATTAAACCCGGTTTATTCCCCGCTCACCGACTCCGACGCACAGGACGAGGCTCAGCCCCAGCAGGAGCAGCTTCATCGTGGAGCAGGTCCTGACTTCCATCCGCTTCCCAGCCCGGCCCGGCGCTCCCTGGAATGAGAACGGCTCAGGAATTCATCTCTGCAACGAGTTCCCTCCGTGCTCAGCCCTGGAATAGGGTGGGGGAAAAAAAACAGCCGGGGAAAAACCCTCCCGCTTCTTTTGTTTTGTGCCTTTTGGGGCAAAAAAAGCAGAGAAAAGCTCGATTTGCCTAAAAAACTGAAATATGGGCATTTCTGGAGACTTTAGTGGTTGTGGTTCCAGGACAGGAGCATCCCATGGAAATAAAATTATTTAATGAGGAAAAAAGGCACTTCACTACTAAAGGTGCTGAGACACAGCGCCGGCAACTGAACCCAATATTTGGGTAAATAAAAGGAAAAAAGATCAGATGTTGGTTAACAATAAAACACTTATCTACCGCCCAACGTGGGGCTCGAACCCACGACCCTGAGATTAAGAGTCTCATGCTCTACCGACTGAGCTAGCCGGGCTGCCGGCCGTGCCTTCTTTTCACTGTTTTTTCACTAAAAACATAAATTTTATCTGTTCTTTATAGAATGTTCAATTATCTAAAAATTAAACCGGTTTCTCTTTTATGAAATATAAAAATAAGAGTAAGAAATATAAAAGTATATAATATAAGACTACATGGAAATAGTATATTTGTACATTATAATATGGTACATTTATGTGCGATAAATATACTTTATTTATATATTATACTAGACTATGTAGTTATATATTTTATATGTATTTATACATAAATTAGCTACCATATAATAATTTTTATCATATCCTTTTATATTATTATTTCTACTTTATATCACATTATATATATCTATTTTATATATATGTAAGTATATTAAAATACATATATATAACATCTTTTATATATTAAAAATAAGGCTGGTCATAAAAATGTGCGTAAAAATCCCTGTTCCCCGGGAAGTTCGAAGCGATGTTGGGATGATGCCGAGCGCACAAGAAGAAGCCCAGAAATCCCCGGAAAGCCCCGGTGCCGGTCCCTTACCCAGCTGTCCTCTCCTCAGGGCTCCCGGAGCCCGCGGCCCCGCGCTGCCTTTATCCCCGCGCTGCCCTCGGGGCCTGAACGACCCCGCATCCCTCGGGAGACGCCGTCCCCTGGGAACAATGCTCGGGAACAGCTGGACAAACACCGGGACACCGCCCCGGGGCCGCTCCTGGAGCCCCGCGTCCCAAAGGGGAACCAAACCAAACCAAACCAAACCAAACCAAACCGGCCCCCAGAACCCCCAAACCGCGCGGGTTCGGGAAACGGGGATGGAGCCGGGCCCGGAGCGCCGATGGATGCCCTCACCGGGGGGTTTGGACTTCATTAATGACAGCGATAATT